CAGGCTGACTGGTTAGACAGGTTTTCTGACCAATATGTTGTGTTCAAAATAATGAGTTTACAAAAGACAGGTTTCAGAATATCTTACATCTGTTGTGTTGTCTGTGCTTCTCAACAGCATGAAATGACAGTGAAGGCAAAAACGATTGGATGAAGTGGAGCAGTTGTTGGCCACAGTTTGTTTGCTATCAGATGAGATTGGTGCCTATAGACAAAGTTATCCTGGCAAAACATCAGTAAATTGGCCAGGCATCAGACCCAAACATGACTTCCCTACATACTGGCCCTTGCTGTTGCCGGAAAGGGCAAAAGTAATCTTTGTAATAAATCTGTAGTAGAACAATCTCCAGACATACCTACACAATTATTTAATTGTTTAAACAGACATATAACTGTATGTTGTGTAAATTTTCCCCTGACAAGAAACTTCCAGACCAAATGGTCAGAGGGACATGAAATTCACTGAAGTGTATCATTTTATTGACTATATGCCCAGATGATAACTGCTGACGACCAATTTTCACAGGACTGTTTAGCTCTGTATGTAGCAGATAAGCTTTTATATCGCATAAAAACCATGCTCTCTGCGCGTGAATCTCGAGCTTTTATTACAAGCATAGATGTATAAGTTGGAAACAATCAATTTATTTCCTTAAAAGAAAATTTATGTCCTCAAATGTTGTTTTGGTTTTGTGTGAAAAATCCTTCTGATAAAATATTTATATATCCATTTATTTTCCCTTCAGATTCCAACTTCAGCATCCGTCAACACAATAAACTTCTTACTTTGTATGTTTTTGCATCTGTGATAGATATTCCAAAATCTGTTTTGCACAAAACATCTTACATAATACAAATACCTTGATCTTTTGAATGGTTCAGTTGTCATTTTGTCTCTTAAGTCCTCTACCACTGTAAGCTTGCAAGAAAAGCTTTTAAGACCTTTACACAAATTTGTAAGACTTTGTATATCCACTACCACAAGCTAGTAAGACTTTTACCACAAGCTTGTAAGACTTCTACCACAAGGTTGTAAGACTAGTACCACAAGCTAGTAAGACTTTTACCACAAGCTTGTAAGACTTCTACCACAAGGTTGTAAGACTAGTACCACAAGCTAGTAAGACTTTTACCACAAGCTTGTAAGACTTCTACCACAAGGTTGTAAGACTAGTACCACAAGCTAGTAAGACTTTTACCACAAGCTTGTAAGACTTCTACCACAAGGTTGTAAGACTAGTACCACAAGCTAGTAAGACTTTTACCACAAGCTTGTAAGACTTCTACCACAAGGTTGTAAGACTAGTACCACAAGTTCGTAAGACTTCTACCAAAAGTTTGTAAGACTTTTACCACAAGCTTGTAAGACTTCTACCAAAAGATTGTAAGTCATCTACCACAAGTTTGTAAGACTTCTACCACAAGTTTGTAAGACCTCTAACACAAGCTTGTAAGACTCTGAATATCCTCTACCACAAGCTTGTAAGACTTTGTATATCCTCTACCACAAGCTTGTAAGACTTCTAACACAAGTTTGTAAGACTTCTACCACAAGTTTGTAAGACTTCTAACACAAGCTTGTAAGACTTTGTATATCCTCTACCACAAGCTTGTAAGACTTCTAACACAAGCTTGTCAGTCATCTACCACAAGCTTGTAAGACTAGTACCACAAGCTTGTAAGACTTTGTATATCCTCTACCACAAGCTTGTAAGACTTTGTATATCCTCTACCACAAGCTTGTAAGACTTCTAACACAAGTTTGTAAGACTTCTACCACAAGTTTGTAAGACTTCTAACACAAGCTTGTAAGACTTTGTATATCCTCTACCACAAGCTTGTAAGACTTCTAACACAAGCTTGTCAGTCATCTACCACAAGCTTGTAAGACTAGTACCACAAGCTTGTAAGACTTTGTATATCCTCTACCACAAGCTTGTAAGACTTTGTATATCCTCTACCACAAGCTTGTAAGACTTTGTATATCCTCTACCACAAGCTTGTAAGACTTTGTATATCCTCTACCACAAGCTTGTCAGACTTCTACCATAAGCTTGTAAGACTTTGTATATCTTCTACCACAAGCTTGTCAGACTTCTACCACAAGCTTGTAAGACTTTGTATATCCTCTACCACAAGCTTACAGTCCTAAGGAGCTGGATATCTACCATTGAATATATATATCTATTGCAAGCCCCCTGGAGCTTAATCATTTATAATGAAGAGTTTTTACTAAATCTGAAAAGCTTGATCATCTCTTTTGAAGAACTCTATCACAAGTCCTAAAATGGATTATAATTTTTATTACAAGTCCTAAACAAGGTGATAATTTCTAATGAAGAGCTCTGTCACAAGTCCTAAACAAGATGATAATTTCTAATGAAGAGTTCTGTCACAAGTCCTGACTGGGATGATAATGAAGAGCTCTGTCACAAGTCCTAAACAAGATGATAATTTCTAATGAAGAGCTCTGTCAAAAGTCCTGAATGGGATGATAATTTCTAATGAAGAGCTCTGTCACAAGTCCTAAACAAGATGATAATTTCTAATGAAGAGCTCTGTCACAAGTCCTTAACAAGATGATAATTTCTAATGAAGAGCTCTGTCACAAGTCCTGACTGGGATGATAATTTCTAATGAAGAGCTCTGTCACAAGTCCTAAACAAGGTAATAATTTCTAATGAAGAGTTCTGTCACAAGTCCTGACTGGGATGATAATTTCTAATGAAGAGCTCTGTCACAAGTCCTTAACAAGATGATAATTTCTAATGAAGAGCTCTGTCACAAGTCCTGACTGGGATGATAATTTCTAATGAAGAGCTCGGTCACAAGTCCTAAACAAGGTGATAATTTCTAATGAAGAGCTCTGTCAAAAGTCCTGACTGGGATGATAATTTCTAATGAAGAGCTCTGTCACAAGTCAAGATGATAATTTCTGAACAAGATGATAATTTCTAATGAAGAGCTCTGTCACAAGTCCTAAACAAGGTGATAATTTCTAATGAAGAGCTCTGTCACAAGTCCTGACTGGGATGATAATTTCTAATGAAGAGTTCTGTCACAAGTCCTGAATGGGATGATAATGAAGAGCTCTGTCACAAGTCCTAAACAAGATGATAATTTCTAATGAAGAGCTCTGTCACAAGTCCTAAACAAGGTGATAATTTCTAATGAAGAGCTCTGTCACAAGTCCTAAACAAGGTGATAATTTCTAATGAAGAGCTCTGTCACAAGTCCTAAACAAGATGATAATTTCTAATGAAGAGCTCTGTCACAAGTCCTGACTGGGATGATAATTTCTAATGAAGAGCTCTGTCACAAGTCCTTAACAAGATGATAATTTCTAATGAAGAGCTCTGTCACAAGTCCTAAACAAGGTGATAATTTCTAATGAAGAGCTCTGTCACAAGTCCTAAACAAGGTGATAATTTCTAATGAAGAGCTCTGTCACAAGTCCTAAACAAGATGATAATTTCTAATGAAGAGCTCTGTCACAAGTCCTAAACAAGGTGATAATTTCTAATGAAGAGCTCTGTCACAAGTCCTAAACAAGGTGATAATTTCTAATGAAGAGCTCTGTCACAAGTCCTAAACAAGGTGATAATTTCTAATGAAGAGCTCTGTCACAAGTCCTAAACAAGGTGATAATTTCTAATGAAGAGCTCTGTCACAAGTCCTAAACAAGGTGATAATTTCTAATGAAGAGCTCTAATTTCTAATGAAGAGCTCTGTCACAAGTCCTAAACAAGGTGATAATTTCTAATGAAGAGCTCTGTCACAAGTCCTAAACAAGATGATAATTTCTAATGAAGAGCTCTGTCACAAGTCCTAAACAAGGTGATAATTTCTAATGAAGAGCTCTGTCACAAGTCCTAAACAAGGTGATAATTTCTAATGAAGAGCTCTGTGTCCTAAACAAAGATAATTTCTAATGAAGAGCTCTGTCACAAGTCCTAAACAAGGTGATAATTTCTAATGAAGAGCTCTGTCACAAGTCCTGATGAAGAGCTCTGTCACAAACTGGGATGATAATTTCTAATGAAGAGCTCTGTCACAAGTCCTAAACAAGGTGATAATTTCTAATGAAGAGCTCTGTCACAAGTCCTAAACAAGGTGATAATTTCTAATGAAGAGCTCTGTCACAAGTCCTAAACAAGGTGATAATTTCTAATGAAGAGCTCTGTCACAAGTCCTAAACAAGGTGATAATTTCTAATGAAGAGCTCTGTCACAAGTCCTAAACAAGGTGATAATTTCTAATGAAGAGTTCTGTCACAAGCCCTGACTGGGATGATAATTTCTGATGAAGAGCTCTGTCACAAGTCCTGACTGGGATGATAATTTCTGATGAAGAGCTCTGTCACAAGTCCTGAACAAGATGATAATTTCTAATGAAGAGCTCTGTCACAAGTCCTAAACAAGGTGATAATTTCTAATGAAGAGTTCTGTCACAAGTCCTGACTGGGATGATAATTTCTAATGAAGAGTTCTGTCACAAGTCCTGAATGGGATGATAGTTTAAGTACCATGGAACAAATCTTCTCTTAAGCCTATTGCACTCCATGACACTACGAGAAATAACTGGAAAAATAAAGCTGTGTTCTTTTGAATCTGTACCAATTTTATTTCTGCACCTTAAAATGATTGATAATAATATCCTTAGAAAATGGGACATTCCTCAACTACACTGATTACCTTGTGCCAATAGATGCATCACCAGATATACAGAAATACCAAATTCTACAAAAACAAACAAATAATCTGGACAAGTGATATCATTGTAGGACCTGCCAATACAAACACAATCTAGAGAATCCTTCATCTTGATAGTGTGTGTATCCCCTCCAACAGCTTGAAGATGTTTAGTCTGCCACAAATGGAATGTCACTCTGGAGTTGTCTCCCCTTATCTAGACCATGTCTTTCATACTTGTATCACACTATTTTTAACACCTGATGCACTAGTCCGTTCAGTCATCTGGCTGATATTGACAGATCAAGCCTGTAGCCTGGTCAAAACTGACACGGTCAAGCTTGTAACCTGGCCAAATTGACACGGTCAAGCTTATCCTCTGTCAGGTAGGTATGTAAGACTGATCTTTACTACAGATAATGATCCATCTGATTTTATCAGGAGATTTTAAGCCATTGGTTAGTCTTGACCACCCATAGCTGACCCAATACACCTTCACATGAGGTCTTGTTCACTGACAAGGTCCTAAACTTACTACAAAAACATTGCTTATTCAGATCATTGCCATACAGTCGATTAGTTTTAATTCCAATTGAAAGCCACTACAATACTACCAATAATGTGAAACATTGATTGTAAAGACATGGACATTAAATATTAACAAGACAACTTATTCTAGACAGGATTCTGTCTCCCAAACTATTTCATCTATCATGAGAACATAACATCTTTCTTTATGTTTCTGACATGTTTTTTATTATTCCCTTAGTTTTACAGTTTAGGACCCAGACCACTACAAATTTTCTTTTTTAACAAGAATGCTGTTAAATCATAAAAAGGTATCAACAGTTTATATCATACTTGTGCAAAATTTTCATTTAGAAATGATTCATTAATGGGGTCATACAACGAGAGAAGCTTTTCAAAGTCAGAAAATCTTTTAATCGTCATTTAAATATTAAAATCAAAACTGAAAAGTCAGTAAAACATTTAACAGTCTGTCAAAATCAAAACTGAAAAGTCAGTAAAACATTTAATAGTCTGTTAAAATCAAAATTGAAAAGTCAGTAAAACTTTTGATAATCAGTTAAATGTTAAAATCAAACATGAAAAGGAAGATGTTAAAACTAAAAAGGCAGTAAAACTTAATAGTCAATAAAATGTTAAAACTGAAAAGTCTATAAAACTTAATAATAAGTTTAATTTAATATTGAAAAGGATGCAGAAGTTAAGATGGGTTAATTGGCCCATGAGCAGCAAAGATCCTTTTGAGGCAGGGTCTCCTTGTAGAAGCTAGTCACTTCTTCACTGAACAACTTGCAGGAGGTTCACCACATGTTATCCTAAGTAATAAAGGTGAAGTGCCTTGTTTGAAAAACACAACCATACAGGTACAGTTATGATCCATTTCTCAGCTTCCTGAGGAACAAAATCTACCTCAGTTGGAAATTATTGAAGCTGACATAGCAGAGTGTCATGCTGTATGCACTGAGGTGACCTCCAATCCTACAGTAGGGATAAACAATAGAAATACAAGCTAAAACTCTACAAATGTTTGGATTACAGCTTGTTCATCTAATGTCTAGCAGCAAATTTCAAATCATGATTTCTTCTGGATAACTGGCACTTATAATTATAACGGGAAAATGCTAATTGGTGATGTCAGACTTCTATCAATATCTGGTGTGAATCCAAGTGATTAATTTGTGAGGCTAACCCTTAATATTATTCATTTGATCAAATGCAAATGATTCTAATTTAAGTTTGACATTTTGAATGCATGAATAAAATAATTCTTTGGATTTTTATTTTGGTTACCCTCACCTTATATATCACACATCTAATCTAAAGATGTGCTCACAGTCGTAAAATAACAATGAAAATTGGCCTCCATTTAAATGTCATGCGAGAAGGGAAGTTAAAGTTGAAGAAAACAATATAAAAGAACATCTACCCTGTCTCTAATGCATCAACACAGAAGACTGACTGCTGTAATAATGAATGCAGCATGTTGGCGTTGGAGATAGCAGCTCAGAAATTACCCTGAAAAACTTGTTATATTGTGAAAACACTGGATAATGATGCAGCATCACCTTCATTCACTACAAACACCGAACTCTAATTATTCTCCATTAAATTTGTATGCAGCATTACGAGCGAAAAAACCCAATACCAGTATCACACCTCCATATAAAACTACAGGCATTTGATACTGATGCCCTTCAGAGCTTTTCTGAATCCTAGGTAGAAAAAAAAAACACATAAAAAGTCCATGAGAAGTGAGAATTCATCATTATACTTAATTACTGACAATAAAAGTCTTGCCATCAATCAGGTGGAACTTACCTAATACTACTGCTGTTTAAGTGCAAGTTAAATTAGGAATATCATTCACCTTATATAACGACTGGTTTAACCATGTTGTACTGAAGTATCACATGACCTGTGATACAAAGCTTTTTCACCATCACATGAATAGGAACAAGAGCAGAGATAAGAGTGCCTTAACATCTGCCCCAAATCAGTTTTCACTTTTAACAATATCTACCTATAATGGAGACAATTTCTGTGCCAACATTGACTTTACAAAATTTCTTAAATCACATTGACTCTAAATTCAAAAAGGTCAAAGTTCATACAGAATTTACTATCTGGCTATGTTTCATTTAAGACAATATTCTATGTTTACACAGAACCGTTGGTTGTGTCATATGGCCATACATTTTACCGTTATTGCTCTGGAGGGCAGGCAATTGACCTCCCAAGTCAGTGAGGTAGTCATGAACTACTTTAGGAAAACTTCCTACCTCAAAATGACTGTTCACAGGCTGAAAATCCCAGCAGACAAGCCAAATAGTTCTTTAGGTAAAGTACAACTTTCATTTGTAGGAATTTAATATGTGGAATATTTATCAACAAATTTGATGTTTTTACCCAATGTATCTAGTAATGTTACCTTTTACTATCTTTACATATGTTGTTTGAATCTATTTTTATTCTTACAATAATTTCAATTCTAAACAGTCTCCCATATTATTATCTTTATATCAAAACCAAATTACTATTGCATCTAAATTATGAACTCTGTATTTCTACAGAACAAAATGGAAACCTTTTGCAGCTGATCATAATTATCTGGAATGCAGCCAAACTGATAAATGTTTCTGGAGATAAACTGGTGATTTTATATACAAAAATGTCCTAGTGATGTAAGGCCAACTCACAAGAACAAAGTTTCAGCTGACTTACAATCAAGCTACATCAAGTAAGAATCAGAAGCCACGGTGGATTATCAAGATGCCACAGTGAAATTTATAATTTTTTAGAGATGATGATTCTCAGGAACAAACAGGTGTCCTTTTGGCACTTGAGAAAATATGTAAACAAATGTCAAACAGTGTTCACACTAGGCAATATCCCTTCTTCCTGTAGACTGACCTGATCATTTCTGAATTCTGTCATTCGTGATCTTGGATGGTGAAGTGGAAGTAATAAGAAACACCAGTGAAAATATAGAAAGAAATGAATCACTCAAATATTAATGAATAAAAGGCCTCACCTATCACATACCAAAAAGATCCTTTCAGTGTGTTGTATATATGAAGTGAATGAAAGTCAATTTCATATGGTGATGGAAAACATTTATTTTACATTAAATGAAACATAACACATTGTGGCAGTTAATCATTCTAAGAAAGATATTGCATTTAAAAGGAAATCTTTCAACTCCTTCAAATAAAAAAAAAACTTTTCAAACACATAAAGCAGCAAAAACCTGATTCTCAGGTTGCCCAGCGGTGGGTAGGAAGTCCAACTGGTAGACATAACCCAATGTTACAAACCTGATACAAAATTGAAATCATATATCTTTTATCAGATGCATTAATGTTGCAAATTTCTACCAGATATCGTATGATAGGAGTGATAAAATTGCTGACATAACCAAGTAAATGGGGACATGTCAGTGGTAGCTATTCTCACAATGACAGAGATAAAGTGCCAGTGGAAATGGAGATGTCCCGCTAGAATTTCACTGTCAGGACTTCATCCCCACACACAGACTAACACTCCCAGCAGCTGTCAAAATGGCCTCAAATTTGTCCTCCACTTCTTTGGCTTTCTTTATCAATCAAACAAAAAACACTGATATTATAAACGATATATATATTTATACACACAGCTAAAAGGCTGCCAGAGAAAGACAATGATCTCATCTCTAAGCAGGTTTGATTAATTAAAGTCTCCCATACTAGGCTGTCAGTATTACACAGACTTCACTATAAGGGCCTTTGCTACTTTTGTCAACAAAACATAACGCCCCTCATGGTCTATCAAACAATAAAACATGAATTCAGCATTTATCTCTTAAGATAACACTGATATAACATCATTCATTTGGGACTCTACAACAGAAAAGCAATATTGTGGCATTTCAAGGAGAAAATCTAATTTATAAGATTTTTATAACCAAGTCACTTTTCCCACAAAATCATAAACATGTGATAAGCTAGTTTTGGGGATGCTGAGAAGCATTAAATAGGGTTTCCTAATGTATTTTTGCAGCACGATTAAGAAAGCAATAATAATGGCATATACAGAGAAAGTGACACAACCATCTTTTTATTGTTTATAGTAAACAAACAAGCTGATTATCAATAAAGTATACAGAAAAAAGCAAATTCCTGTGAAGAGATTTTTGTTTACTTTGTGATATATTCATAAACATGTAAGAAAACGTTTAATTTTTCCTTCAGTAAGTTACTGTGATGACTGCCTGCTAGTTATATATCAATAGGTTAAAGGTAACACACAAGATCACCCAGCATTAGCCACGGAGTCAAAGAAACGCAAATGTTTCTTATTTTTCCCAAGCTTTTGATTCACAGTCTATCATTTTCATATTCTAAATGGAGGCTATACGTTATCTAAAACTGCATACCTGTATTCTGTATTACAGTTAAGGCTCTATGCTACCTTGAACTGCATACCTGTATTCTGTATTACAGTTAAGGCTCTATGCTACCTTGAACTGCATACCTGTATTCTGTATTACAGTTAAGGCTCTATGGTATCTTCAACTGCATACCTGTATTCTGTATTACAGTTAAGGCTCTATGCTACCTTACTGCATACCTGTATTTTGTATTACTGCTATATGCTACCTTGAACTGCATTCTGTATTACAGTTAAGGCTCTATGCTACCTTGAACTGCATACCTGTATTCTGTATTACAGTTAAGGCTCTATGCTACCTTGAACTGCATACCTGTATTCTGTATTACAGTTAAGGCTCTATGCTACCTTGAACTGCATACCTGTATTTTGTATTACAGTTAAGGCTATATGCTACCTTGAACTGCATACCTGTATTCTGTATTACAGTTAAGGCTCTATGCTACCTTGAACTGCATACCTGTATTTTGTATTACAGTTAAGGCTCTATGTTATCTTGAACTGCATACTTGTATTCTGTATTACAGTTAAGGCTCTATGCTACCTTGAACTGCATACCTGTATTCTATATTACAGTTAAGGCTCTATGTTATCTTAAACTGCATACCTGTATTCTGTATTACAGTTAAGGCTCTATGCTACCTTGAACTGCATACCTGTATTCTATATTACAGTAAAGGCTATATGTTATCTTGAACTGCATACTTGTATTCTGTATTACAGTTAAGGCTCTATGCTACCTTGAACTGCATACCTGTATTTTGTATTACAGTTAAGGCTCTATGTTATCTTGAACTGCATACTTGTATTCTGTATTACAGTTAAGGCTCTATGCTACCTTGAACTGCATACCTGTATTTTGTATTACAGTTAAGGCTATATGCTACCTTGAACTGCATACATGTATTCTGTAGTACAGTTAAGGCTCTATGCTACCTTGAACTGCATACCTGTATTTTGTATTACAGTTAAGGCTCTATGTTATCTTGAACTGCATACTTGTATTCTGTATTACAGTTAAGGCTCTATGCTACCTTGAACTGCATACCTGTATTCTGTATTACAGTTAAGGCTCTATGTTATCTTAAACTGCATACCTGTATTCTGTATTACAGTTAAGGCTCTATGCTACCTTGAACTGCATACCTGTATTCTATATTACAGTTAAGGCTCTATGTTATCTTAAACTGCATACCTGTATTCTGTATTACAGTTAAGGCTCTATGTTATCTTAAACTGCATACCTGTATTCTGTATTACAGTTAAGGCTCTATGCTACCTTGAACTGCATACCTGTATTCTATATTACAGTAAAGGCTATATGTTATCTTGAACTGCATACCTGTATTCTGTATTACAGTTAAGGCTCTATGTTATCTTGAACTGCATACCTGTATTCTGTATTACAGTTAAGGCTCTATGCTACCTTGAACTGCATACCTGTATTCTATATTACAGTAAAGGCTATATGTTATCTTGAACTGCATACCTGTATTCTGTATTACAGTTAAGGCTCTATGTTATCTTGAACTGCATACCTGTATTCTGTATTACAGTTAAGGCTCTATGCTACCTTGAACTGTATACCTGTATTCTGTATTACAGTTAAGGCTCTATGTTATCTTAAACTGCATACCTGTATTCTGTATTACAGTTAAGGCTATGTACTATCTTGAAGTGCATACCAGTACTTTGTATTAGGATTAAGGCTATATGCTACCTGGAACTATGTATTTGTATTTTGTATTAAGTTAAGGCTATATGCCACCTTGAACTGTACACCTCTATTCTGTTCTAGATAAGAATTAAGGCTATATGCTACCTTTAATATTATATCCTTTAGATAAAAAAATAATTAAACATCATCACATGTTATGGTATACAGGTATATTTTGTAAACTTGTTTACTGATATTAAATTAAATAATTCTTCAATATTGTAAAGAATCTATAATTGTAGCAGTCAGGAAGCGTATACTCTTCAAATGCATTGTAAATTCATGTTAACCAAAGTCTTATACAGGAACATTCTGAAATGAAATACTAACAACTAAAATTTATATCCTTCCATACTCGTGATCTTTTTCTCTTCAGCTACTCATGTTGTGGCTTTTAGTGGTATCACAGGATCTGAGATCTCCAGACCACCAGGCCAGTCTCTCAATCACATGTGAGGGCCACCCTGGCACCATTCTAGTCACAAATTACACCAGGAACTATGCTTTCCTCACATCGATAACCTGGGAAATCTTTTCATCACTGTTGGAAATATTGGTCAGAATCCAGCAACCCTAGCTAGCTGTGAGAATTGACAAATATGTAGAATGGATGGGGAGAGGGTAACTGAAACAATATGCATACAGCTAACACTTAAGTGTCAGTGGAGGAAAACATGTAGTCTATGACCTGACAGGTTGTTATGCGAATTAGCTTATAAATGTAAATGTCACTGTGATTTCTCTTCATCTTAAACAGTGTTACAAATTGTTCCAGCTGTTTGTCCCAAGGTGGTTGCACACAGAGCCACTAGTATCACAACTTTGTAAGAGAGCTTTATTGAAAAATTCACAAAAAAATCCCAAATTCTTGTGAGATCTGGCATGCAATGACCTTCTGCAGGAAGAACAACTGTTCAAGTACATTTACACTACAGATATGTATTCTTGTCCTCCAAAAACTCTTAAGTTAAATATCACTGAAGTTTATTTCACTACACAGATTCCTTTCAAAAATACCTTTCATATTTATCTAATAACTCTAATTTTTTTTTAAATCTTAATAAGATTCTATTAATGGGTTACATTCTAATCAGGAACAAACAGGATGAACCTTACCATATAATATTCATGTTTAATGCCCTGACAACCCAGTAACATTTCCTCGGTAATGACAAAACGTCGTCAACATTCTTTCATTTGCTGCAGTGGATCAGTAAAGGGCAGCTGAGATCTGAACTAAGCATATGTTATAACTGTGATTACATAACACCTAAAAGTCACCTCTTTGCTTTCAATGACATTATAGGCATCAATTTTACAACCATGAGTGGATTTTGTCTCATTCCTTGCCCCGTATGCATAAAACTGGGAGCCAGAGCCTCCCTGGAGAGACATACTAAAGTACCATTTGTAAGTGACCTTATGACGTGGGCAATACATCATGGTAAAAACACATGAGGGCTATAAGCTAAATGCTTCATTAGGCTTTTGTAATGACAAAACTTTTTTTCTAGACACTGGCAAGATAATTACACAGAAAAGTTATGACATTACGTAGAAAATGATCAATATTCGACAAAAATCTAACCCATCATGTTGGAGAAACTGTTCCAAATTTGAAGTTAATTTGACGGCTGGCAGATGTATCACTTGCCATTGATTTACTATCAAAGGAAATGTATATCAGGCCAAATGCTTGCCATGAGAAGGCTACGCATCTCTGAAGCACCATTTGTGTCAGGCTTATGATGGAACTGCTGCCTGTCGTTTAGTCCTAAAAAGACAAAACTAGCAGACATGGAAACCTCCATTTTTCTGTAGACATGACATTCTATATATAATCAATTCAGTTACAGTATTACTCTATTGTAATCCTACATTCATATATAC